AAAATTATTTTAGGTTTCGGGATATGAAATTAAAATTTGAAGACGAAATTGTTTTTGATCTATTTTATTTAAAAGACAAAATTTTTTGACACTTTTTTTAAAGAGACGAAATTATAAGGAACATAACTACCTAAATTAGATTGCTATTGTATATAAAAAATTCCAAATTGCTCTAATAGAGACGAAATAGTAATTTTTTGAAAACCTATTTCAGTGGCATATATAGCCGGGACTATAATTTGTGAGGACCCCCTAAAGTTGTACAGCAACTGCAAGGCTACATACTCCCAGCTATTGGCTTTCGTAATTTGCTTTAATGACTTATCTTATTAAAGACCGGCCTAACACCACGAAATTACTTAAGTGGCAAGCTAAATCACTTCCAGCTATTTCTAGTTGGTGTGGCATTCATACTGGTATATTCTAGCTCTTTTCGTCCTAGACTTCCATATAGGTATGACCAGAGCTCCGATTTGGTGCATTTAGATGTACAGGAGTAGGTTACATTCTCTATGCTGAATAGCCTTCTATAGTCATTCTACTGATATCAGAGGTGCTTCCAATTCTAGTTAAGGCATGATCATTTATCATAGCCCATAGTTGCATATCTCTACTTCACTCACTACTCCAGTTTTTGGTAGTATTAAATTATCCTTCCAAGCAACTATCTAACGCTATATCATATTTAGGACTTATTCGCACAATCCATTGATCATCCTTCCAAGCAAGTACCCCACAAGTTGGATGCAGAGATGTTGATAATGCCAAATATAGAGGTGATAGGATGTTGGTGTTGCCTATACATGCTGACGAAATTATTTTAGGTTTCAGGGTACGAAATTAAAATTTGAAGACGAAATTGTTTTTGACCTACTTTACTTAAAAGACGAAATTTTTTGACACTTTTTTTGAAGAGACGAAATTATAAGAAACATAACTACCTAAATTAGATTTGCTATTGCATATAAAAAATTTCAAATTGCTCTAATGGAGACGAAATAGAGGTTTTTTGAAAACCTATTTCGGTGGAATGTATAGTGTTGCCTCTTAGTCACCCCAACTAAGGATTTATATATATAATCTTCTATAGCCTAGACCTTCTGTGACACTGCTGTCACACATAGTGCCCACACTCTGCAACCAGGTCTCCTTCCAGGAACTCCTTATTCTGATCTCGTACTGCACTTGGACTTTCCACAAGGCTTCGCATCTGATTTGGCTCCATATGGTTATAGTAACAAATTTAAAAATTTGACATCAGCCTGACTCGAACCGTTGACCTTGTCTGTGGAAGTTTAGAAGCTTAACTAATAAACTACGGGACCCAAACCCTAGTTTATAAATATATTAAGTTCAATAAATAATATATATATTATATATTATTAAAATAATCTACTTCTAATAATAAATTACTATATATTACCAAATAGAAACAACCTCCAAATAAAAGCAACCTCCTGATTTGGGGTGTCAAAATAAGAGAAATGAGAAAATTTGTTAGTTATCAAATATAAGCAACTCTCAGTTTTAAAAACCTTTATATCATATCTTCATCTACAACTTTTAATTCAAAACCAATAAAAATAATACAATACTAGATATATACAACCTATAATTTTGATCTAGAATCAATAAACACTTGATATATAAATCAATTAGTCTTGCATACTAACTAATAAAAAATTATAGAAAGTGAACACCCAAATCTACTTGATATGCTAATTAAAATATTAGGAAGCTGATTTTAGATCTGATCTAAAATTACTTTAGTATTATACATGTTAAGATTAAGTTTGGTAATACAGTTCAAAATTTCTTTTTATGTATAAATTATCTAATTTAATAAAACTTGTACATTTTCTTAAATAAAGTAAAAATATTTCAGATAAAAAGATTATCTGTATATGATATTATATTAAGCAAAGCTCTTTATATAATAGTTAATAAGCACTAATAGCAAGTTAGACAATCAAAATTTTTGTAATATAGTAATTAAAATAATGATTTTTATAGTAGTCAATTCTTTTCAGAAAGAAGAATTAAATACTATAAAAATCATCTAATTCTTATTACTGGAATAGGTGTTATTTGATTCTTTTTTTTCTTTGTCTACATAATATAGTTTTCTTAAAACAATATTATTAAATCTTAAAATAGCTCAAAAGCAAAACTATCCTTAACTTTATTACACTATTAGAAAACTTTAATTATTCTTTGCTAATCAATTATAAATATAAGAACTTCTTCATCTTTCTCAATAATTGCATCTTTATCAATAATTGCATCTTCTTTAATAATTGCATCTTTTTTAATAATTGCATCTTTCTCAATAATTGTATCATGATCTTCTTCATCATCACTAGAATTGATTGTAATAATATTAAGTTTATCAGAAACATAGTGGGTTTTATTTTAGAAAATTTCTTCACTTTTATTACTAAGAATTTCATCCCTATATATTTTGTTATTTTCTAATCCATCCATTATATTAGAAATAAAACACTTACAAAAGGCATGCTGAATAATTTCAGAATTAATTTCTGCCTAAGCAGCAAGTACTTACTCACAAATAGTGTGTAGTTCTGCACATTTTAAGTTCCTATTCTTGGTTTTGCCAGAACTAAGGATGGGCAAAATTGGTATAATTGGTATAATATCGGTATAATAATACTATAAAACATAAGGGTATTATACCAAAAATTTTTTAATTATACCAAAATTTCCCATCCCTAGCCAGAACCACCCTTTGCTATTCATATATATCAGTAATGATGAAGTACTACTTTAAAGGAACAATAAAAGAAATGTCAAGAGATTAATACACAGAGGTTAGACTGCCCAGAATAACAACCAGATCATTATTGTTTTTACATAACTTTGTCTTAACTGGATTAGTAAGATGTGCTTTAAATAAGTCAAATACTAAAAGAAAAGACTCATTTTCTTGATCACCTGGATGACCTTCAATATAATCATCAGCTCAAGCTAATATATCTAATTCGTCTATCCAGCCTTTTTCATAAAAAGACACAACTACACCAGAAGGAAAAGAAGGTTTAGTCTTAGCCTATCTTTGATCCTTGAACAGAATGGTAGAGGTGAGCTTTTGTCCATCAGCAAAACATGTCAAAACTATGGTGAAATGATTCTTCTCATTACCAATTGTGTGAATATGAACAGTTTTAGCATCAATTTGTTTAACAATAAGATCATTAGCTATATTAAACCAGACAGAAGTCTTATCTATATTTGCTATGTTGCTTAGAGGGTAGTTTTTTTTTAATGTAGCTTAATTACATATCATTAAAAATTAAGCAGTTTTTGTTCAAGGTCTGCAAGCATTTTTTGTAAGATTTTAGTTTTTCAGTGTAAAGCAAGATTATAATATTTTAAAAAATGTTTAGTCTATATTGAAGAAGCTTTGAAGTTGGCTACAAGTTTTTTTTTGTAAGATCATTGCTTTTTGAAGCAGCTTTAAAGACAATTCTTAGCATTTCTAACTTAAAGCTATTATATATTATAGCAAGTGCTATTCTACGCATTTTGGATATCTAACTATAAAGTCTCATTTCCTCTTCAAGAAAAAAGCACTTTTTACCAGCACCTTCAAGACAATATAACTTGCTATTTTCAATTTCATTTAGTTTGTCCTTCAGCTGCATTACCCAACGGCCAACTTGAAACTTATCTAAGCTAAACTTTATAGCAACCTTAATATTACTTGTGCAGAAAGCATACCGAACAACATGAGCTTTGTCTTAGATAATATATAACTGACAAATCTTCTTTGTAGCAACTTTTTCTAATATTTAAAAAAATTGTGAAGGAAAAAAAAGGTTGATCTTTAGTATAGGTGTATATATATAATTATTATACAATTATAATATATATAACTTAACTATTTGAATTAATTTAAGTAATTTTATAAATTATTAGGGTCAGGGTTATAGTTAGATTTAAATTAGCTTAAATTAGTTAGATTGTATATATTATAATCTTGTAATAATTTATATATACCCATCTATACTAAAGGAGATTTAAAAAAAAATTTATTACTGCATTATAACTACCATGATATTCTATAAATTTCCTCTGATTAAATCACAAATAGTATAAACAGATATCTAAATTTGCATTTGTAAAGAAGAATTAGTCTAAATAAGAAAAGTATATATTTAAGTCTTTCATCATTATTATATATCTACACCTACTAATATATTTTTATATCTCTAAATAAAACTCAAAATGCAAGGTTGGTTAAATAAATTAGAACATGTTTTAGTTAATTCTGTATTAATAATAATATCTAACATTATTTATTTTACAAATGTCTTTTATTTTAAAAAATTCTAATGTCAGTATTCATTATTCGTTTTATAAGCATTTTTATTTCAAGTTTATATAAATTTTTTTTATTGTAATAACTGATTAAAATGTTTATTATTATATAAATATTTATTCATAAATAAAGCTTCTATATAAATTTAAAATAATTAATAGTTTATTTTATAATATTGGTTAATAACTCTATACCAACGATAAGTTACAAGAATATGCAAATAAGCTTTATAATAAAAGATCTTTTTTTGAGGATCTTTTAACATTAATTAAATTTTATATAATTAATCAGCTAATAGTATCTCTTTATTTATTGTGATTTAATTGGCTAAAATCTATTATGTAAATAAGCGTGATTTTTATCTTTGGATCTAAATAGAAGCTACTTTCTTCTTTTGGCCTAAGAAAATCAAAAAAATTTGGTTGCTTCTATTTAGTAATATATAGTATTTTCTTTTTTTAAAAGAAAAATAAAAATTTTTTAAATTTAAAAATAAGCTATTTATATAATTATTAATAGTTGCTTATAGTAAAGTTAAGATTTTACTATATAAATTGATCTACTTTATTAAGTAAAAGTTGTTCAAAAGTCAAAATATATATACTCTAAAGGTTTCATCCAAATAAGATAACCTTTTATTAATTCATTTTTGTATATTTATGTTTAATGAATTTTTTAAAATTTTTTTAAAATTTATATTTGTTGAATATAAAAATCAAAAGTCAATTAATAAAAAGTTATAAATAAAAAAACATGCTAAGAGCTATATAATGAACAAAAATAAAGAAAATATACAAATACAACAACCAAATAGTTATATAAAACAAAAAACAATATAGAATTTTAAAAGAAAGATAATTATATAGCAAAACAAACAGAAAAATATGAATAAAGTCACTTCAAAAAAAAAAATACAATATAAAGTAAAAGATATTAAATATATAGAACTTGTATTTAAAAAATGAAACTAGGAGTGTGGCGACTTAGTGAAGTTGGTAAGTTGTCATCCCTTCAAATGGCAGGTCTAGAGTTCAAATCCTACTGGCGACGATTTTGAAAAATAAGATTTGTTTCGGTAACATTTATTCAACGATCGGTTGGGTGTACTACCTGTAACCTTGGTACCACCATCTTGAATAGGAGCTTTCAGGCAAAGTTGTATGACATCATACAGACAAAGCCAAGAAACCAGAATAATTGAAACCCATTTGGAAAGATCCGAGCAAGGAGATAGTAAAGATCTTTGATGATACTGCAGAAGCCGGAAGCCCGAAAACCGAAAACTGAAGAACCGGACGAATAACCCTAGGCAAGAAGGGTTCACCAACCTGGCCGCCGGAGTTGCACCGGAGGAAAAGGTCCTATGCTGCGGAATTAGGAACCAAAGAAAAGGAACCATTAGATATTTAAAGTCTAGGTATACTGTTACAAAGTAGATTTTTAGTATAAATTTTATTAAACATTATTTAGTTATTTTTAGTTATTATTATTCAAAATATT